CTCTTGCATTTCCTTGAGTTCAGCATCCAACGCAACACAAAGGCGGTCATGAGATTTGGCCGAAACAGTCTCTGAAAGCATCTTTCTGCAGTTTTCAAGGATAAATACTGCTCCACTTAGGTCTCCCTGTTCAGCTGCAACCCGTGCCTGGGCCATTGCCTCGGCTGCTTGGAGCCTGTTGCGCTGCCTGTCCACTTCAAGTGACATTACAGCCTGCCCAGCAAATTCGGTCCGGTCAATCTTAACTTCCTCACTTTCCAATGTTGCTGTTTCCTGAGTTAAGGGATCCTTGTACACACATTTGACCTTTATCAATGAAGTTTCATTGCCAGATGTAGCCGGGACATTAACCGAAACTAGAAAATCCCTCTCCTCGTCAGCATACAGGTCTCCAACATCAATCAATCCTTTGCGTCCATCAGCCAAGAAACGGCTAGGGTAACTTCCTGCTTTTAGTGAAACAAGACTGAGGTTTGGGTGTATACAATCAATTCCTACTTGCAGCTCCTGAATAACAACACTTAGAAGTCCTCCAATGCATTGTGCAAACGCATCCTGCAACACGGCTTCAGTCTCAATAAAAGAAAATGTGCCACCAGAAGTCTCGGAAATTGAGTGCATTAGTGAAGCATCATGATCTGCACCAAATCCAAAAGCGTGCACTGGAATTAGAAATGCTGAATTATCACCACCACTGATGGAAGTGGGCAGAAGAAACTGGTAATTTGATCGAGTATGGTTGGTTCCATTGCCATTGACAGTGTAATTATCTTGACCATCGGACAACAGTATAATACTGGCGACTGGATTCTTTTCCTTTCGATCTTCCATTATCTTGGCACCTTTTCTCAGCCCTTCAGCGATATTGGTACCACCATTTGCAACCAAAGAATTAACAGCTTGTAATGCCTGCTGCCGCCCAGAATCAGTCATTCTGCACAGGGGAAAGAGGCGGCGAGCTGTGGAAGAAAAGGCAATAACAGATAGCCGGTCATTAGAGCCGAGGTTCTGTATGACAAATCCCATTGCTCTTTTTAGGAGTGCAAGCTTAGTTCCAGCCATGCTACCACTGACATCAAGCACTGTGACCAAGTCGACAGGGGCACGCGGTGTCTGAGAAATCTGTGCCAAATTAGCCTGGTTTCTACTAAGGCTTTGTCTTTTGGCTGCAGCTGCTGCGGCAGCAGTAGCTTTGAGATGAACCAAAACCGTGAAGTTAGAATAAGCCTTGGATCCTGGAGCAGAAGATACCTCTGGGTACATTTTAACCTCCATTGCTCTAACAGCTTCAGTATCTTCAGTATTCTTATTGCAAGGGCTTCTCTCAGAGAATGCATGTTGATGATTTAAGGATTCATCATCATCGAATATGCCTGGTTCAGAAGCCTGATAAAGTGGCACAACATGCCTCCTATTCAAATCTCGGTGAGGATTAGGTAGAGGTAGGCGGTGGACAACTGCCATCAAAGCATCATTTTGAGGCCAATTTATTGGACTTGGTGAAACTCTGCCGGGGATAGGATCCAAGCTTGGGCCTGATAAAGGTATTTCCTTCCACTTTGCTCTGCACACTGGACATATCTGGTTTCCATGTTTCACATTTGAAGCAATACAGTGGAAATGGAAGGAATGCGAACACTCTGCAGTGAATATAGCATGGCCAGATCCTTGCTTCATTTTGGTTAAGCATATTGCGCAGGTTTGCTGAATGTTCGAAAATAAAAGCTTGTAAGAACATATATAATTCTATGTAAATTATTTCAGAGATGTTCAAGGTTTCATGCAAATAAAGCAAATTCATGAACAGACTACCCAAGTTAAATTAACTGTGTTTGTAACAAATATTACTTCTAATTAAAAAAAATCAAACAAATATGAAAAATGCATGAATATCTGAATTCCAGCAGG